GGGGAATAGAGAGATGGGGAGGGGGAGAAAGAGACAGAGAGGGAAGAATGAGACACGGGGAGAAAGAGGGGGAATAGAGAGTTGGGGGAGGGGGGAGAAAGAGACAGAGAGGGAAGAATGAGACACGGGGAGAAAGAGGGGGAATAGAGAGTTGGGGGAGGGGGGAGAAAGAGAGGGAAGAATGCCCCCCCTCCCCTGTCCGCAGGCACTGTGCGGGCAGGGGAGGAAGAGAGGACCTGGGAGCTCACCCTGCAGCTCCTCTGGGTCCTTCTTGCGCAAGCACAGAGCGTTGCCGCGGTTACCATGGCAACGTTACTGCTCTTGCGAGAGTCAACTCTAGCCCTGGAGCTACGGGCCAGAGTTCACTCTCAACACTGTAACCCCCATGGATTCCTGGTGGTCGCAGTGGTGAGAGTGAACTCTAGCCCCATAAACACACTGCCCCCACACACACCCCATACACACACATACACTGCCCACCCATATACACACAGACCCCCATACTAACATTGCCACACACATACACTGCCCACACGCTACACATTCACACACTACACCCCACACACACACTGAACCTTTCACACACATTGCACCACTGCTCCTATTCCCTACTACAGCCTCATATCCCAGCAGACCCCAGGTAAGTTGTCAAACTGTTCTTAAACGGTTTGACTACTTACTCTGGAGCAGTAGTGGTTATTGTGCATGGATTATTTCTTTAAATAATCTACAAGTGCCCCAGTAGCCAGCCAACCAACCCACAGGCTGGCCAGTAGCCAGCCAGTTAGCCAGCCCACAGGCCAGTAGCCAGCCCACAGGCCTACAGCAAGCCACAGGCTTACAGCCAGCAAGCCACAGCCTGCCAGCCGCAGTCAGCAAGCCCACAGCCTGCCAGCCGCAGCCAGCAAGCCCACAGCCTGCCAGCCGCAGCCAGCAAGCCCACAGCCTGCCAGCCGCAGCCAGCAAGCCCACAGACTGCCAGCCAGCAACAGTAATTAAGGTAAGAGGAGCCAACTAGGCTTAGGTATCAGCGAGCTATGTTGTGTTGCTATATTGTGAATAGGAACCAGAGTGTTGGAGAGACCACCCTCCAGGCCCCATTAGACTCTAGCCTCTGCTAGAAATCTCCTCCATGGCCCATTAGCCCTCAATTGTAGTTTCTACTGGGGCCTGGAGGCGACTGTTTCCAGCAGGGGATATCTAATGGACGCTGAGATGGCCTCTGTTAGAAAGACCCCCTTCCAAGCCTTTTAGACTCCATTGTAGTCTCTAATGGGGCTTGGAGGGGATTCTTTCTAACACACTCTCTAAAGGACACTGAGATAGCCTCCGCTAGAAAGACCCCCCTCCATGGCCCATTAGCCCTCAATTGTAGTCCCTACTGGGGCCTCGAAGGGCTTATTGCCCTTTTGTTCCTTGTGTCTAAAGATTGTGTAGGGTGTGGCTGGAGGCGGGACAAGGGTGGCGCTTGCTGCAGAGTATGGGTGGGGCCTCTAAGGGGGCCCTTGATTTATTTTTTGCCCAGGGGCCCTGAGGGTTCTCAGTCCGCCCCTGATGGAGTGTCTGTGCATATTCATTCTGCCATTTAATGGCTGGGTGGTTTCCCTAATGTAGCATCCTAGGTGGCATTTGGTGCATTGAATCATGTATACCACATTGCTGGATGTGCGGGAGTATGAACCTTTAATGCTGTAGGTTTTATTGTTGTGTGTGGCTGTGTTGTCTGTGCATACGTGCTCTTCAACAATATATTTATGACCCTCTGCTAAGATGGTGTCTATTTTCTAACAAACCTGTGTCTTATCACTCATGTCGCTTTAACCCCTGTATCACAACTCAACTTTGAATTCTATGTGTCGTTTTGCTCAGAAATGCTTCAGACTTGAGAAAGGGAGGTACTCCCGAAAGCTTGTCATTAAAAAATTCTGTTAGTCCAATAAAAACGGTATTACAAGATAAGAATTGTATCTGTAGACAAAATGTCTAATTTGACAGATCACATAAATGGTGTGCCTATCTCATATATTTTGAAACTTTATAACTAATTTATTTCTTATTTTACAGCATCACCAAATGTCACCACATCAGGCATGTATCTGAAAATTTAATTATTTGTCTATCTGTCTGTCTAGCTATCTTATATATTTTATCTATCTAATCTATCTATCGGTCTATCTATCTATTTATCTATCTATCTATCTATCTATCTATCTATCTATCTATCTATCTATCTGTCTACTTATGTATCCATTATTTTTATAAGTATACCTCTTTGTTTGTAGAGATAAATAATAAAGAATCGTAAACAAAGTGGCCACTAACAGATCTTAGAAATGTTTGCCTCTCTATCTCAATTTTGCATTTGTTTGTATAACTGTGAAACTTTATAACTAAAATGATTTCTTATTTTACAGCATCACCAAATGTCACCACATCGGGTATGTATCTAAAAATTACATCTATCTATCTATCTATCTATCTATCTATCTATCCATCTATCTATCTATCTATCTATCTCTCTCTATCTATCTATCTATCTGTCTGTCTATCTATCTGTCGGTCCTATTTCTTTCTTTATGTGTAGATGTTGACAAAATGTCTAATTTGACAGATCACATAAATGGTGTGCCTATCTCATATATTTTGAAACTTTATAACTAATTTATTTCTTATTTTACAGCATCACCAAATGTCACCACATCAGGCATGTATCTGAAAATTTAATTATTTGTCTATCTGTCTGTCTAGCTATCTTATATATTTTATCTATCTAATCTATCTAATCTATCTATCG